AAAATCGCTAGCTGGGTCGGACAAATGCCGTGAGGCATTATATTGATTTATTTGGACATCGGATTTCGTTCATGAAAATTACGTACCGTTATGTTACGTTCGCCTTCCGTGAAATGGAATCTTCCTCCGGGATTAGATGTCGATCAGGCAGGTACGCACCAGACACCTTTCTATAAGCGGTAGCGCTAGATGGAAGACTTCGTTTTTTGGTGTTTCTGAGGCTCCTAACAATTTTGAGAAAAAAAAATATCGGGGTTAAAAATTGGGGGATGGGGGTTTGTTGGGAGTATGGAGATTGCACATGTTGCATCTTTAATATCAGTGAAAGATGCTTTGGTATTCAGAAACTTCCCAGATGTTCTGTGACTCCAGCAACGCCAGCTACCCAGAAAAAAGCGATATCCTCTACCTGCGAAAGGTCCGATCGGAATTCAGCAACACCACAACATCATCAAGGAGTCAACGCGCGACGATGCAATGATACTAAAACGAAAGTTATTATGCACCATGTATAGTCAGAGCTGATTATTTAAAAAAAATTAACAATTCAATTCATTCTGTAACATCGCATTAAGGGTTTCCATTCGGATACTATTATACGTGGTGCAAGTCGATAATTTCATTTTTATACCAGCAATTTATTTTAAGGTTAAATAATCTTCATAACCATCATATAGTAAAGATAACAGAGCGCAAAGGTCGACTTTGATGGTATGCTATTCAAAGCCCATTTGCCCAGAGTTAAATGGAAGTACAGGAAGTATGGGTCTTGAAACGGCCAAGAAACTTACTTTCTCAATAAAATATATAAAATACGTAATTTCCAATTGGATTTTTGCAATATACTAGAAACATGACTTTTGAATCTTAAGTTAATATCTAAAATGATACCAAGTATTTTAGACTCATTACTAAATTCTACTCTATCTGATCCAATTTTGGGATGAAATGTTTGCAGGATGCGCTCACGTTTAGTATTAGAGCAGAATAACATGATTTTGGGTTTAGAGGAATTTGTCATCAAATTGTGCTTTATAGAATAGCTATAAACTACATCAATATCCTCTTGGAACTCGACGGCTGCTTGTTGATCATGTGGATCAAAATGATAGAGCAACTGTGTATCGTCTACGAATGACTGTATTGTAGAGTTAGCTACTACAGAAGGCAAGTTTGGAATATATATTAGAAATAACAAGGGTCCCAAAACAGATCCTTGTGGAACACCAGATATGATATTGGTAGAGTTAGAAAAAGTATTATTGATGATACCACATTAGGACCGATTTGCTAACTATTCCGTGAAAAACGATATAGATATATTATCAAAACCTAAATACTCCAATTTATCAAGAAGCAGCTGATGACTCAGTTTATCGAATGATTCAGAGTAATCGACCGAGACCAAAATGGAGGCAATATTTTTATCTTGAGCCCGTATTATATTATCTGTTATATTATGGAGAGCGGTAGTAGTCGAGTAAGATTTGCGGAAGCCCGATTGATTTTTCGGCAATATTCTGCATAATTCAACATACTCGATTATTTGTTGCTGAGCTAATTTCTCCAGAACTTTCGATAATAATGGCAGAAGGCTTATAGGCCTCAAATCAGAGAGCGCTTCCGGCTTACTATTTTTGGGAACAGGTATTACTAAAGCATGTTTCCATGCTTGTGGAAAATAACCAATTTCCAAGCATAAATTCAAAATATGTATAACGTGGAATAAAACCCGAGGGAGACACAAAGTTAACATATCAAGACTCATTCCATCAGAACCCCTTGCACCAGATTTAATCTGCTGGATGGTTCTGTAAATTGCATAGGGATCAACGACTTTAAACGAAAATTTAAAATGATGATTATACCTATTACGTTTGTAGAAATTAAAGGTATCGTCATCTAGCTCACCCGCATCATAAACAGTTGTGAAATAATCATTGATCTGGGTTGCATCATTGAGGGTGTCAGATATCTCGAAGAAAAATTAAGATTTATACTCTTCATTGCAGCCCAGGTTTTTTTAGACTGCCTGCTTCTTTGAAGATGTGAGAAATAAGCTGCTTTTTTTTTTGCTTTATGGTTAGACAGAGCAGCATCTCTTTCTTTAAATATTTGCTTAAGCCCATAAGTAAGCAATGGAGCGTGAGGTTTATTGACTCGTACAATTTTTGACGGAGAATGTTTATTGAAGAGTTCAGTTATCAAATTATTGAGGAATTCTACTTTTTCGTCTATTGACTGCAGATGGAATATATCATCAAATGGAAGATCATAAAGGTCCCGTAGAAACAATACCTCATCGAAATTAGTGAAATCACGTCGATATGTACTTCTGTTTCATTTGATAAGGCGGAATCTGCATTGTGCATGAGACCATCTTGTGGTATGATGAGCATCAAAAGTAAGGCAATTAGTAAATGATCCAGGTTGATCTACATTGGATCTAAGAGGCTTCTACTGCTAGCTGCCACCCTAGTTGGTGATGAAACCAATTGTGCGAAGCCATGAGTCTCTAGACATGAAGATAAGGGATTGTCGGGTTCTAATAAGTTGACATTAACGTCACCCAATATAATAATGTTTTGAAAAATGCTTGATTAGTGTGATACCGTGTCATCTAGTATAGCAATGCAGTCATTGAGGCTCTGGGATGGAGGTCGATGTAATACAAATACAACAAAAATTGATTTTTTATATGTAATCTTAATCCATAAGTGCTCCAAACACTGAAGATCGTTAACTGCCACATCATTTAAAAAAGATTGACATAAGTACCAATCCCACCACCACGTGATCCTCTGTCTTTACGGATAAAGTTATAGCCAGCGATGCTGACAGACTGACGGAATGAGATCTGTAAGCTAAGTTTCACTGATAGCAAATATATCAAAGTCATCAAATCGAATAAGTTCATTGACAGCATCAAAATCGGAGAAAACAGTACATTGAGATGACCTAATTTAAACTCAGTAATAACCTGTCTAACCATAACTTATCCTGTTTTGTAAGCTAGTTATATAATTCTGATAAACGGTACAATTTTTATCAGTTGCTTGATGATCAGTACATAGTTTGGCTTATACCTATTATTATACCTTACACAGTTAGAACACAATTTAATATTAGACTGACATGCCCTTGTAAAATGATTGTCCGAACATTTAGAACAGGCAGGGTCGGATTTACATCTACTAGCAAAGTGACCAAAAGCAAAGCATTTGAAACATTGAATAATATTTAAGTGGTTGCTAACAGAATTCTTTGCCACCCTATATGGATAAAGCCAGCATTAACAATTTTTTTATGAAGTGCTGGGGGAACATCCAGAACATAATTGTAAAATTTGTCATTTCGGCCATCTTTCAGTTTGATGACTACTTTTACATCGGATTTTAGATGTTCAACAACATCATTCAAAGAGAATATATTATTTATTAACTTTTCGTCCGAGTCTAAATCTTCACTGATGCACACATTTTTTATAATTAAGCGAGGATTCAGTTTTTTCGAAGGGTTGATGCGGTATTTGGACTCTACACTGATTTTTAATGCTTCTTCCAATTTCATACGATCGCTTTCAGTTCTGCAGTACACAGCAGCCCCATTCTTTATTAGTTTAGTCTTGTCGATGCAGATTTTGAGGTTGGCAGGGTTGATAGATGAAGTGAGCGATTTTATCGCATCATTATTAGAAACACCGTCCTTGGACTCAATAAGGAGAACAAATGAGTCACTGACGGCAGGTTTTTTCAAAACACTGCTATAGCTGGGTGTACTTTTGGTTTCGATGTTGTTCGAAAACAGGTGATTTTTTGCAGGAGCATCATTGAGAGAAATCAGTTGACGTTCAAGGTCGCTTACCTTAGATTACAGCAAATTATTGGTAAACTCAAATTCTTCAACGATTTTTTGAAGAAGATGTTTCTCACGGGAAATGTACTCCAGCTCCTTTTTGCAGATAATTAGGTCGACATCAGTGGCGATTTCCTTGCGTAAGATTTAATGCGCTTACGGATCAGTATATCAAATGTCTATTGATTTATCATTGAAAGTTCTCGATTAGACCACAGACAAACGTGGGTTTCTGATAGAATCCTCGTATAAATTTTCCACATTTAAAATATCCCTCTGTTACAAGTAAACTAAAATTCGAAATCTGGGCCGCTGAGTTTTAGGTAGGAAATGTGTCGCTTAAGACCACCCGATGGATTCTATCATCAAACTGATGTTAACATAGAAGAGTTTTTATCTAGATCACATATATACGTATGCATGCATTTTGAAAAATCCCATTAATCCATTCTCCAGGAAACCTTTAAATAATAATAATATTTATTTACTCAATGTACAAAGAGGACATTAGTAATTAAATATAATATAAGAACGTAATAGGAGGTAGTGCATGGACCAACAACTTCAAGCTGTATTTTCAGAATACAAAAAAGTGCAAAAATTAGTCACAGTGGATTATGCTTGATGTTCGTATTTAGGGTTTCATGCCTGGATATAGGATGTAGCCACTTTTTCAAATTTGTCTAGAAATAATTTCCGAAATGTCTTTTGAATTTTAGGTGTATTTTCATAAAACTTGGGCGTTAAATAGGGATATGACCGCTGCATTATAGATTTATGTGGCTGAGGAAGTACTGTGCTACGAATTTTGTACCTTTTATAATGATTATGTTTAAATTTGGATAGGAAATGTGTCGCTAAAAATACTTTAGAACTACATCGAAAAAAACGAATAATTTGCTGATCATTTGGGACCCTCGCGGGTCCTAATATTAAGTCGACATTGGAATCTTTGCATCATATTTCCCATTCAGGGGATTTTGAAGATTATTCGAAGAATCTGGAAAATGTATGCCATGGAGTAACGGTTATCAATATCTGAGGGACTAATCTCCAAAGCGCGAATTAAGGAGTAGTTTCACACACTCTGATGCTGAGGAAATCAGCCCAAACACATATTTTCTCCTTATTACGTAATTTTCCAGGGATCACAAAGGCACAAAACGCTGAGTCCAAACAGGTGTGAAATGCCTGAAGGTAATGCTTTAATGCCTGGGCTGACACGCACGTCGTTAAATGCTAGGAACCTTGCACGCTACCCCGTAAGCTGAAATACAACCGCTGTTAAGATGAAAATTGAGAGGAAAAAATGATAACGACGTATTCAACTGCTCACGTAATCTCTTGGTGATTGTGGTCATAATTGAAATTAATACATTAGGTCTAATGATGATGCAGCGAGGAATGTTTCGGTATGTTAATAATGGTCATCTTCAGATGTGAGGTAGAGATATTTGGCTGTTTTCAACAGATATTAATGGGGGTAGTGTAACAGAGTAACGCTCGAAGTAAACAGATATCTCAGTTATGAACCGGACGAGATCTCAACCTGATCAGGCAGATTGTTCCTCAAGCTCGGCGACCCATCTTGCAATTCGTGAGCTCGGCCCCATTATTGACAAGAACCCGGACGAATCAGATCACCAACCACTCATCAAAAAGTACCTGTTTTCCAGTGGGTTTTGATTATAGAGTGATGTGCTCCCGAAGTGCTCTAGAAAATACACATGCCAATACAGTGTGAAGAGAAACGATATTGGTACTGAACACTGCTTTACTTTGAGTAACCCAACTAGGCTATTGGAAAGCAGGTCTTAAAATCGGAGAATTGTGTAAAAATGCAATTACTATGGCTGCGCCTAATCACGCGTCATTAAGGTTCTTCTGGGCAGTTTATCACTATGAAGGCGGTTGGAGGTCAGTTCAAAGAGAAACTCAAAATAGATCTAGCAATCGAGCCCAGACGCGTGTCATATGAGTTTCTGAGGTTTCTGAGTCCAAATCAATTATCACTGTGTCTCTATTGAGGCATATTATCTCCAAAATTCTAATCCTTTATGGGGTGCTTATTGAACTTTTTAACTTTCATGTTCCTATTCGGACGGCTCGTGTCACCAAAAAAGCTGCTCAATGGTTAACTTTTGCACTTGAGGTCATTCTTAAGGGGAGAGATAAGGCTTTAATTAAATTTCGTAACAATCCATCAGACGAAAATTGGACAGCGTCAGTTAAGAAATTATTCACTTGCTTCAATCCGATAGTCTAAATTCTAGAAAAGCTTGGGGTCAGCTGAGAGTAATGAATATTTGTCCCCAAAAACACATTAGACCCTAACGAAGTCAATAACCACTTCATGTTAAATTACCAAAATCTTAATATCAATTCCCGTTTGATTGACAGTACAGTAGAGTTTTATGAGAACAGCTTTAACAGGCAAGATGTAACTCCATTTACATTCAGGATGATAACTGCTGAAGAAATTTTGGACATAGTTACCTCTATCAAGTCACCTGTTACAGGCAGTGATGAAATTAACTTGAACATGCTAGATTACTGCTTACCTGAAATTTTATTGTATTTAACAGATATTGTTAATATATGCCTTGAGACCGGGGCTTTTCCTGAGGCTTGGAAGGAAGCTATTATCATCCCTTTAGCCAAAGTCAAAAATCCAACCACTCATAATCATTTGCGGCCTGTTAGTTTGCTGTGCTTTTGTTCGAAGGTATTAAAGAAAGCAGTGTACATTCAACTAGTGGAATACTTAGAGCAAAATAACTTGTTTGCTCCTCATCAATCAGGATTTCGTGCGGGACATACTCGTAGCACTACTTCAGCTTTGCTTCATCTAACTGACAACATCGTAGGTAGCTCAGAGAGACATATTAATACCATATTAGTGATGATTGATTTCTCAAAAGCCTTTGATACAGTTAATCACAAAATCATGTTGATCAAGCTGAAGTACGTTGGACTATCTGATATTCCGCTAAGATTTTTCCAAAGCTACTTGGCTGAAAGAAAATAGGTAGTTAAGACGGTTAGGGACGTCTCTTCTAGTACTGTGGTTTCGTCTGGCGTTCCGCAGGGGTCAGTTCTGGGACCTCTGCTATATTTAATTTACACTATAGACCTAGACTCATGTGTGGAATTTTGTTCTATACAAACGAATGCTGATGACACACAATTGTCATTTCACTTCAAATATGCTCAGTTAAATAAAGTGTCGTTTAAAATTGATACTGACCTAATCAATATTACGGATTTTTCTAAAAAGCACTGTCTCAGGATCAATCCTGAAAAGAGTTCAAGTATGCTTTTTTCTCAGAAACACATGTATAATAACGTAAAGGACGCAGTTGTACTTATTATAAATAACGAGCGCATCCCCATGGTAGAACATTCTAAAAACCTGGGTGTTATCTTGGACTCTAACTTGAAGTTTCATCGACACATCGGTTACGTATGTCAAATTAAAACTTTTGTACTCCAACCGGTTCATTTTAAACTTTAAGACTAGGAAAAAATTAGTTGAAAGCTTGATCCTGTCATCTTTGCAACACTCTCTGATTTTATTCTATTCTTAATAGATTCGTCGGATCGGTATAGGTTACAAAAGATTCAAAACAGCTGCTGCTGGTTTGTGTTTGGACTTCGTAAATATAGTCATGTCTCTTCGAAGATTAAAGACTTAAATTGGTTAAAGATGGAATTACAGTTTGTTTATGCTATGAAGGTGTTTGTTCATGAAGTAGTTCGCACAATTAGCACATTTTAGAAAAGCTAGTACCAAGAGGTAACATTAATCAGAGAAATCTCAGACACAACCTAATTTTTGCGATGCCAGTCCACTATACAGCCCTTTTCCAAAAAAGCTTCACATTTCATGCTGTCAAGTTATACAACTCTACAGATAAAGTGTGTCGCAATAAAACAATAGTACCTTTCAGGAGACTCGTTAAGAAACAGCTGATGGATATTGATAGTTCAAGTGTGCATTTGTTAAAAATGTTTTTTTTTTATTTTCTGTTTCTGTTACATATTACTCTGTTGGCTCATGTGTGCGTGTTGTCAACACGTTATCTACTCAATTCATTTACTTACATTTATTTTTCTTCTTATTATTACTATCGTTTGTTTGTGTATCGAGTTTAACTATGTTACTCTTTCGCACACAGTGAGGTTAAGTGTAAGAGTAGCCATTTGGCTGAACTTCGCCACACTGATGTATGTGATATAAAGATATTTATCATTATTATTATTATTATTATTATTTGAAGGTCACTTTGCGGCCATTCATAAGTCAAATTCATACAAGTTGAGTCAAAGTTTCCGTTCACCAATATGGTAGTACATACAAATATAGTTTGTAAAAGTTAGGAAGAAACAACCCTGGATTTTATCTGGCGCTACCTCATGGTAAAGTGAAGAGAGCATAGTAGTCTGTTCAACCTACGATGTACATGAGGACAAAGCTTTCTATTACATCAAATTAAAGTGTGTACCTTCTTCATTCTGATCTATATCCAGATGTTCAAAATGGGTGTCGAATGATTCAGTACAAGGTTTAGCTTCGACAGTCTGCAATGGTAAATGTAGCGTAAGCGAGTTCTGTTTCCATAGCCAACTTATTACTTAACTGTGAAATATTTATTAATCTTCGCTAGTTTGTTTTTTGGATTTTGACAAACTGTCGCACAAATGTTATCTATTAAACAGACAACTCTCATCTGAATAGCATTGAGACTGAACAGGGTAGTCGAAATAGCAGACATCTAAATTCCCGAGGCTGGGTTTTATGAGGATCTTGGACAGAATGAGATACTAAAAATGCTTTAAGCCCTGATAGTTGGTCCTTGGGGCCTGAGTTTTGAATGAGGGTTGATCAACCCTTAGATCTCAAACGAACAGTATCGCTTCCTGGAGTATTTAACATTTGCATTTCACACTAGTCATATCTTTTCAATATTCCCATGAACATCAATAATTTCATATCAAAATTACAATATTTTTAAAGTTTTTTAAAATCCAAAGTATCCAAAATACTCAGAATTTTCAATATTTTAAAAACATTAAGATATTTCAAACTTCAAAATTTTCACAATTTTCAAAATTTTCAACCCTTATCGAGTTTTCAGACTCCTCAAATTATCAAATTTTTCGATTTTTCAAAAACTGTAATAAAATTCTCGCAATTACAAGATTATTGAAATCTTCAAAATTTTCAAGGTTTCTCAGTAACCTATTCGATATCTCAAGAATCGTCAAAATTTGAAATTTTCAAAATTTTCAGGTTTTTTTGAAAATTACAAAAATTTAATAAATTGTTTTAATATTTCCATTATCTTGAGAGCTTTGTAAATTTAGTGTTTGGAATTTTTTTAAAGGTAAGAGTATTAAAAAACGAGATTATAAAATTTTTCTAAATTTTGTTTATTCTGAAAATTTTTGAATGAAAAACTGGTTACAATTGTTTCAGTCTACTGTGAAATGTTAAATCCCCACTTGAGAGTCACTCAAGGGTGGGTTACAGGTCTCATTCAGCACTCAGCGGTTAAGGATCTACTACGAGTATGTAGTCGTTGGTGATCATTCCGATAAGCCGAAACTTCAACGTACTCTCAGAATATATTGCACATAAACATAAGATAAGCATTCTACGTATAGTGCATTCATTGCTGCAAGAGAGATGACGAGGATACAATTTTCGTGTTTTGCATTGAACGATACGTCCTTTAAAAGCCAAGATAGGCAATCTGGTGTAGCATCTATTTCCAGTGAAATGGCTTATAAAAAATTCAGTGGCGATAATTTCCACCGTCGCTCTCCACTTTTGTACAGCATCTCAGCGCGCCTTTAAAAAGCTCCTAGCCGCGGGTAAACTATCCCGAAAGGACACTTCGCAGTGCCGTCTTTCTTGCTTGTTAAATTTTTGTTCTGTGCCTGGCTCGCCCAGTTTGCAATTAGTGTAGTCCTGCGTCCTAGTTCGCGCCTTGCAGACTTTGCGGCTGTATTTGAGGGTAGATGCACCAGTTTAATTTAATTTGTGGAAGAAAAAAATATGATGCTCGGCTAAAATTAAAGCAAGTTATAGAAAAATTTGGTAGGTATGTACTGGCCATGGTTGGCTGATGTAGAGACGATAAGTTCTTAGAAACATTGATCTGATAATGCAGCTTT